CCCATGCTGGCTGGGGGATTCTGGGAGTTGAAGTCCACACATCTTCAAGTTGCCAAGATTGAGAAGCTCTGCTCTATACTAATTATTGTACTCTAACAAATAGAAGTAGAATTATTCATACTAACTAGGCTTTTGTTCATTAGTGATGGTTTGGGTCCAGGCAGGTTTATTATGAATGCCTAACTGGCTTTCACGTGTGTTCTTTTCCAGGTTAATGGTAAGGAGTTGAAGAACATGCTACACCAGAATGCTGTGGATCTGTTCAGGACAGCTGGTGACAATGTATCATTAAAGGTTCAGCACAGGGTATGCAGTCTCTCTTCCTTAGGTTTTGCTTGGAAGATAGCTTTGTAGATCTCTCTTCCCCAAAGTGCTTCAAAGAATTTACTTCAGGAAATCCTCCAGGCCACCCCAGGACAGCCAGATTGGTTGATTTTGAACATCCCTACTATAAACCATTGTTTTCGAAGAGGGTACCCTCCAGATGTGATGGACAGCTACTCCTGTCTTTCCCATCCAGCAAGGCCAACTGGTTGAGGGATTTTGGGAGTTGCAGTGTCTTGCAACTGAAGAACACCAGGCTGGGAAAAACTGCTTTAAGCTGTTGCTGCTGCCATATAGACCCTCCAAGTAATATCCACAGTGTAAAAAAATTAGGATACTCTCCCAAGCAACACATAATGTAAGTTTGGCAAGAGGTGGAGAAGAGAAACTAAGGAAAAACATAACAGATAAGTAGCAGAAGTTGAATGTGAGCAGCATGAGTCACACCTTCCAAATATTATGGTTTTCAGATGTGTTGGGACTATAAATATTAGAATTCCCAGCCAAAATGGCCAACAAACAACTTTTGTAGTCCCAACACATCTGAACAACAGCAGGCTGGGGAAGGCTAACATACACTTGTATATGTGTTGTGGTGTAATTTAAAATTTCCCTGGGCATTTCATTGATCAGGATAGTGTTAGGTGTTAGTGGTTAGGTGTTAGGTGATAGGTGGGTGTTGAGGAGGAAATCTTCAAGTTTTCATTAAGGTAAAGGTGAAAAGTAATTCTTTAAAGGCCTCAATCTTTTTCTCAAGTATAACACGGGAATTTAAGACTTACAGAAACCACATAATTTAAAAAATGAACTTAGGTAAAATTATTATTATTACTATTACTATTATTATTATATAATTTTTGTCCTGCCTACAGGTGGTCTTCGACTTACAACCATTTGTTCAGTGACCATTCAAAGTTACGATGGCGCTGAACAAAGGACTTATGACCCATGCCCGAAGTTATGGTGGTTGCAGCACCCGCGCTGTCACATAATCAAAATTCAGGCACTTGGCACCCCACCTGCACTTATGGCCGCAGGGGCACTGCAGTTCCTCTCACCCACCTATCTCCCCCTCATCTATGCCCTTCTGGCCCCTTCCTGCTCTGCACTCCACCACCCCAGCTGCCCTTCACCGCCACCTTCTCGCTCCTGCTGCTGCTGTGTCTGGCCTGGCTGCAGGGGCCATACGGGGCTGGCTTTGCACAGTGAAAAAGGAAAAAAAATGCACAAAGCAACTTAAAGGGGCTGCAGCATGCCAAAACTCCCCTTTGCGCCATGCTCCTGGGCTGTTCGGGGCTGGCTTTGAACTGGAAAAAAGAAAAAAAGATAGCTTAAGGGGGCCAGAGTGTGCCAAAATGCCCCTTTGCACCATGCTCCTGGGCCATATGGGGCTGGCTTTGTACTGGAAAAAAGAAAAAAAGATAGCTTAAGGGGGCCAGAGAGTGCCAAAAAGCCCCTTTGCACCATGCTCCTGGGCCATATGGGGCTGGCTTTGTACTGGAAAAAAGAAAAAAAGATAGCTTAAGGGGGCCAGAGAGTGCCAAAAAGCCCCTT